GGAACAAAATCCGGGGATTCCCGGAAGGGAATACATCTGAAGATCTAGAAAGCCCAAGGAGAAGAAGTTTCGGAACTAGGCCTGGACAATTTCCTTAAAAATAGCCTCAACAAGGGTGTTTGGACCAAATGCGGGGGTAGGACCCTGCGCCTTCCGTCTCGCTGGCCCCGGGCTCATTGCTCGCCCGGAAGCACACGGCAGCACCCGGGCCTCGAAACCACATCGAATCGGTTCAATCAGAGTCGAGTTGGGCGTGTCTTTTCTGGAGGGTACCCGGTTCCTTTGTGGATTTACAGGCACCCCCGCCAGTTTAACGGGTTCCCGTCCAAAAAGACTCCCCAATCGGCCCAAGTCTGACATGATTGAACCGAGGAGTAACTGTTTAGCATGACTTGAACCGAGGACAAGTGTTTCCAGGTCTTTCTCGTCGCCTACGATCATGGCACCAAACGCGTTCAGAATAGTAAGGTCTTAGAACGGAGTTGTTCCCCCAAACCAACCCTGCGGAATCAAGTTACAGACGAACAACATTATCAAATTAACAAACAGTCAAGAAAAGAAAAAAGGGCCACCTGAGCAGGGCGCGGGGTGCAAAGGTCGCTGGAAGCTCCGAGTACGGCGCCAGGAAGCGCCTGAACTCCTGCGATGGAAGCGGTGGTTTTCTTGTGAGATTGCTGGGCGCGGTAAAGTCAGCAATTAGCACCCAGGAAGATCCCGGCTCAAACTACTCTGCGGCCAAAATGACAGATTCGCCTCTTTCAACAGGTGCTGGAACAAGAAGTGACCTGAAAGTTGGTACCTCTGAATGGAAAAAGCTCCAAGGTCAGATCCAGTCAATTCGCTGGCAAAGGCCAGATCCAGTCTGGATAAACTGGAATCATTCAGCCTGAGACTCTGGATCCCCAAAAAAACAATTAACCTAACTTGTGTGGCTTGCGCCCAGAGACCACACACCCAGTGTCAGTTGGCAATACGAATAGCGACCAAGACAGCGCCATAATCATGCAGCAGGGCGTCCGTGTCGTGTAGCAAGCAGCCGTATGGCAGCAGTGCTCCAACAGTGCCGAAGACCCAACCTGCCGAAGGCGCGGATTCATTCGCAGGCGGTGGGTTGCAAGCCCGTGATTGAAGAAAGTGCCCGGAGTGGTTCCTCTATACTGAGCTGGACAGGTCGGTCGACCAACAAGAAAACAAATTGACTGGAGGAGGAATTGTAGACTAGACTTAACCGATCCAAACCGGATGGAATAGGAGCCTACCTATGACAAGTATATGGGTAGGCGGATGGGTAGATAGATAGATACACAGACAAACAGATAGATAGATAGTCAGTCAAACAAATAGAAGAAACAGAGTGGAAAAATCTGCCGACGCCAGTTGAGCGGCAAACCGCAATTTGCTCTTGGCATCGATGCTTGAAGGGGCATTGTACTTACTAACGGCTTAGTAAGTACTGCCCTTCAACTATGCCCGCCGGGAATAGGGCCGCCATCGCAAACACGCGGCGCTCGCCGCGCGGTCGACCTGGGTCCGGAGTTGTTTGCTTCGGCCTCCAATCCGAGCGCAGCACAGTGGATAGAAAAACGAGTGGCACAACACAGTCAGTGTGGTGCGCGCTGACGGCACAGGCGCGCTGACTACAGTGAGTCAATGTTGCAAGTCTTGCGTCCGAAGATGGATAGTCTTGATATCTTGTTGTACTAGACAGAATTGATAGACCAGAAAAGGCCAACTCAGCATAGAATGGAATAGAATACAATAGGATAGAATAGATAGATAGTCGCTAAATCGATAGCTCGATGGATCGATTCTCTAAACTGATAAAAGATCAGATACGATAGGTCAGGATAGTACATATAGATAGATTGATGGATGGATGGATGGATGGATGGAGAGGGAGGGATGGACCGATAGATAGATAGAAACGTAAACCGATGGACATACAGACAGGTAGAGAGATAGATCAAAATTGGGATATAACAAATAGATGGACGCGCTACACGACAGGGCTGATTCAAACAACAGTTTGCATTTGTTTGCCCTATGTCCAAAAGGTAGCCTGCAGACAACCCCTCATCTACTTGTACTTGGGTGCGGATTTATTTCGGGAATGTTCTTTGTTTGGTTTAATTTTTCCTTTGTTCTCCTTTTGTCCCCCCCATCCGGGCCAGCAGAACTTCGTTTTGTACGGCATTTTTCCGGCGAAATTGACGTATTTTACACTAGCCCGTCAACATCCCCAGCATCGTTTCAACATACCCTGCATGTCCGACCAACATCCCCAGCACCAACTAATCGTGGGTAACAAAATCTAAAAAGTAGCTGGCGGGTTGACAGAGTCGAAAAAATGATGATTCCAAGAGGAGGGCATGCCAATCCCTGAACAAAAATAGAAAAGAAACTAACAAGTAGCGGGGGGGGTTGGGCGGGGCAGCAGCCCCCCCCCTCCCCCCCCCTCCCCCAAGCAAGCCAAAACGACACCTGCCGGAGAGGAACTGGGATGCAGAGGATGCGAAAAGCCAAAGCCGAAAAGCCACCAAAAGCCGCATAAACCAACAAAAAGCCGAAAAGCCAAGAAGCTGAGAAGACAAACCAAGCCAAGAAGCCAAAAACGAAAACACCCCCCCCCCAAAAAAAAACAAGTAAAACAAAACTCCTATAACAAATAGATGGATGCGCTACATGACAGGGCTGTTTCAAACAACAGTTTGCATCTGTTTGCCCTGTGTCCAAAAGGTTGCCTGCAGAAAACCCCTCATCTGCGAGGGACTGAAACTCGCGTCGACAAAAACCGACACTGGAACACCAAATGGTTGGACAGGTCGGGGTTGGGCTAGCAGAAATCGCTTGCCCTCGAAGACCTGAAGCCCAAAAGGCCTTTTGCGATGTGAGTGGGAGGGAATCTGCAAGAAAGATGTGCCATCGGCCGGGCCGTGTTGCGCTGTTTGTTGAGCCCACCCACCATCGAACAACGCCTGTGGTGGAGACCATGTTTCTGCAAGGATCTTCTGGTGGGCTCCATGTTGAGTGGATTCGTATCTTTCGGGTTCATGATTTGTTGTGAGTTGTGTACCAACTTCTTGACGCCATTCGGATCCTGTGCGCGTGTTTCGCACTTGCAAGCAAAGGCCTTGGACAAATGACAAAGGCGAGTGCCTGAAAGCAAACAAGCCAACTTAATGGATTGGGGAGTTGAGGTGCTTATCTCTTGGCAGACTGGCTCGGGTGGGACCAGTCGGCCTGCTCACAAACAAGGGCAACACCCTCTCCACAAATCCCATCCCGCTTACATTCCCAAAAACAACTAGTGATTGGTCAAACTTGGAAGGGGATATGCCAAAGAACAAACGCACCGTGAATCCCACTATTTATCTACGCCAGACGGGATCGCACCAGTGTTTGTGGGGGTGTGCCTGGTGATCTGTCTTCCTGCTTGAGAAACGAAGACAGCCCGGCCAAAAAGGCATGTAACTGCGGTTCCTTTGTGACCCCAAGTCAATGCGGCCTGCGGGTGGTTGGTTCAGTCGCAGCACGAATCCCAAACGAGCCCCTCTGCTTTCTCAAACCTTCCCCAGCCCCAAGCTGGTCTGCCCCACCACGCCTGCCATGATCGAGCTTGCGACCCATTGCTCGGCATGCGGAAATCTGAAAATAACTTTCAGCTAGCTTTTCCCACCTGATGGAGACATAGACGTAGGGTACTCTGGGTGGAACCCGGACTAGTGAAGTTGGGACAAGGTCGCACGTGCCGAAAGGACAACAAGACAGTTCTCACCTGAATTGCGCGCATGGGCATTTACAAGTCACGTGTCAGATTTGTCCCCTCTAACCGTCGCACGAACTAAGGACACTCAATCAACATTGGCCCAAGGTCATGTTAAAACCACCCAAATGAAGAGGATAGAGGGCCCCCTGCACGTTGCACGAGCCAGTCGGCCACAGTTCGGCGAGGTGAGCGGCTAGCATCAAGAGGCTCCGGCGACAGGCCCACATGAGAGCCACCGCACACATGTGTTCCCTAGAAACAGCTCCAGAGGTACCTTCCCCAATTGTTTCGGGGATCCTTCTTTCTGGAAAACCTCCGGACACCCAGGAAAACGGCTGGTTGTTGAAAAGAAGGTTGGCTGGAAGGAATGGGGGAGCAACCCCTAGAACAACTTGTTGCTTGCCAGAAGGGGAAATGAAGGAAACACAAAAAACTGCCAAAGGGCAAGAAGGCAGATGTGGGAACTGGAGGCATGGCCATTCAAGCCCTAGAGGAGCCTTTTTCTGGTTGGACATGTTGCGCAACAACAGCGGCAGACACAAACAACGTGCTTCGGACCATGTGTTGGCTGGACGGCAAAGTCTTAGTTGCCCAAAGGACCTGAAAACAAAAGGTTAACCTGATAGAACCTTCACTACATATATGACATATAGGCCAACACAGGGAAAACTAAACGTTGATTCTAGGTCCTCCAGTAGAGAGCTTAGAACAAGGGTACCGACTCTGTTTCTGTAGTCTAAAAAAACAAAAACTCCCAACCAAAAAAGGGGTGAGAAAGGGCACTACTGGGGGACCTAGTCTCTTTCGCAAGGAATAGACCTAGTCTCTTTCGCAAGCAATAGAATCCCTTTATGAGGGCTTCCTTCTGCACCAAAGCTTGCACATGGGCTTTCAAAGCGAGAGAAAAATACACTGGGGGACCTAGCTTCTTTCCCACGAAAAGGAGAACATTGCCCAAATGCAACAACATTCAACGTGACTAAAGCCCGAAAGTGCACTTCTTCCGGCAGGTTTCAGAATTAGTCGGTGGGAGTTGTTGCTTGGTCCATATCTTGGTTGACGTTGGAAGGGGGGCAAAATTTAAATTTTAGCAGTTGAGTGGTTGGATTTCAACCACTAAACCACAATAAGCAAAAATGTAAAATGTTTCCCAACAACAGCCATGACAATATGGACCGAAACGCGAACGCCGCGGGAAGACATGTTCGCCGACTGTCCGCTTCCGCCGCGGCGCTCATCCTCCAGCTGCGTGGCCAGCTGCGTCACCGACTTGGCGTCGTCGCTGATGCAGGCCTTGCATCAAAAGGGGCGCTGGGGTTCGGTTGGTCCACAGGAAGCCTGTTGAAAAAATCCAAGACCAGTGGAACCCATCTATGTTTGGTCAAACTAACCTAAACGCATGGTCCTTTTGCCCTGCTGGTAACTCTTTGTTTCAAAGATGTTCTATAAAGCTTACATATATACAAATACATATGTATATGCCCATAGGTGACCTTAAAAAAAAAAAAAAAAAACTTAAAAAAAAAAAAAAAAAAAAAAAAAAAAAAAAAAAAAAAAAAAAACAAAAAAAAAAAAAACTAGATGGCTCTGGCAAGCAAAGAAAGCACGTCTAAGCCAGCGGAACCCATCTATGTTTAGTAAAACTAACCTAAAAAGGACACACCTATAAGTGTGTCTGTTTTGTTACACTTACCAAATTTCTTGGACCTCATGGGTACACTGAAAAATATGGGTACTAGTTACTGGCTTCAGACACCAACCGCCAGTGGCCTTCCTTAAAAAAAACAAACGCAAACATGGCGTGGTGCACGGACCACTTTCCTCTGGAAGACACCGCCACTAAGGGAGGATTCCTTTGCACCAAACTTTGGTAAATTCTCGTTAGGGAACCCATGAGATCTGCGTTGCTGTCGTACTACTCCCCCGCAAGTTTGTATGGAAGCTCCTGCAAGGGGAGTTTCCTCTACAAAAATTGGGCTCCATGTTGATTTGTAGGAGGTGAAGCATGTCGGTCCAGCCTCACATTTTGGAAGGCGCTCCCTGCAAACGCAGTCCAGCCTCACATTTTGGACGCCCGAAAAACGGGGCTCCGTGTTAACTAGGTCCCTCAGTAGAGAGGTTAGAATAAGGGTGCCATTTTTTTCTGTATACAGTCTATTTTAGTAGGGGGTTTCCCTCCCCCAAAAAGGGTGAGAAAGGGCACCTAGCAGATAATTTGTAGGGACGTAGGTTTTTGGTCGGTGGTCGGTGCCTCGTATTTTTGGTCGGTCATCGATTTTCGGTGGATCCACCGGTGCCTCCACCAGCAGGCACCAGAAGGTCCGGGACGAGGGCACCTTGAGCCGGCTTGAGGCCAACATTTTTGGGGGCGGTCTTTATTTTTTTCTCTTTGGGGTGCGAGGTGTCTCATAGTTTTTTTTTCTGGTGGAACCGGTTTTTTAGGGGACACCACAGGGAAGAAGTTGCAAGTGTGAGGCAGAGACAGGTCACCTACCTTGAAATAAATCCATCTCTCCGCCGCCCCGCTGGCCGCAGGCCGACAGCTTTCACGTGACCCGCCTATGTGGTGCGCATGAAATACCACGAAACACAAGCGAGCAATTGCAGCACATACATACACACAGCCTGGTTGGATGCATGTCCATAAAGGTTATAATATTTACAGGGTGTAAGTCAGGTTGCCATGTGGTTAAGCATATAGACAGAAGGAGCTTTCTCTTGAAATGTGCTGTTGTTGCTGTTGTTGTTGCTGCGCCCATGATAACATTCAGGGAGGAATATCAGAAACCAGAACGGCCCTTGATTTGGCTGGGCGATTGCTTGCCGCGCCAGCAACCATACCACCCACGCGGTTCCTTGTGTGGCCCCTTTGCAGCTCAAACTTAGTTTGCTTGATCGCCTTCTCCGGAATTCTACCGGTATGATCCGGTATGGGATCTAAATTGTGCATTTTGACTTGAACAAGCTTTCTTCTGAGGCTTTCTGCACCAGGCCCAACTTCATGTGCAAGAACAGGGAAATGATAAACAACCAAACCCAAACAGCAGCACACAGGCACGGCTTAGGTACCCTCCTGCAAATTTGTCTGGAACCGGAAAAAAAGAAGAGGAGATCCTGAGGCTGGGTATGAGTATGTTGCAGTTTCCTTCATCTGGGAAGCACCATTCTCCGGAAGCGGCCAAAAGTGCAAGCAAGCCGCGGCCAGAAAGCACTCCTCACATCTCAAAGCACCCCCCCCCTTTCAATAAAGCGCTTGCTGGGAGATGGACTTGTGGTGGGCATCATGTTGAGCTGCATGGGTGGTCGATTTTGCAGCCACGTTCATGTTCGAGCACGTGCCCCATGAATATGTCAAGACTCGATGTGGGGGGAGACCAGTTTGGAAGGAGAGGCGTGGCACGGAAGCCGTTTTAGGCAGCGACGCTGGCAAACACAGAACAAGAGCCCTGTTACGCATTCGGGAAAACGGAGGACATACCGTCCAGGAAAGCACAGTACCCCTCCCTCAACCAAGCACGGAAGTTTGCAGAAGGGGCATTTGGAAGACGAAAGCTTTCCATTTGGGGAAGCCCGTGGCCACTTCCATGGTTGGAAATACCGGGCCTTCCGAATCTACCCCCTTAAATTTCACTCTGGTTCAAGGATACTCATTGGCCATGAAGGCCATCTTCGGTTCGAAAGCCAGCAAAAACCTCATCCGAACCATTCGGCGCAACTTCCCTGCCCACCCTCCCGAAGCCCAGAAATCCTGGTCGTCCCCTGACTCCGCAAAGGCCTTCCTCGGATGCACGTGACCACATCACCCCACCAAACGGCAACTCACCTTCAATGGGCCATGATGGGCCTAAATTGCGATTGTTTTGGCCGCCAAAAGGCAACACGTGGGCACTCTTAACTGCTACCTTGACATTGCTGGTTTCAAGCCCCCAGTAATTAAGTTGATGACCATTCCAAGCAACCCGAAGAGTAACAGGGTGCTTGACCATGTCACATATGCGCAATGAATGAGTTGAATGTGGGTTGTGTTATTCCACGGTTCCCCTAGTCTCACTTCCGTGGATTGGCCAACAATCCAAACTGTTCTTTGCCGCTGAGATGGCCTTCCCACATAAGCCCGGAACTCGGGGAGTGGCGTTTCACATTGTGGAACTCCAGTCCGCAAATGGTCGTCATTACCGGGTAACTGTGGTTGAACCCGCAGCCGACACGGCCCAACTCTACCTCGCAGGTGGCAGAACACAATAACTTGAAGTTAAAGAGGGTGCCTGGAAAAAAGCACAGCCCGTTGTAGCTTCCTTCACTCGGATTCGGAATCACGCATTGCATGGGTCAAGCAATTGGTTTCATCCGGGGCTTCGCTCGTTGGGCCCATTGATGTTCTCAAAAGGGGAAGCCCAACCGTAGTTCCGTCCCAGTAGCATGATGAAGTCGCTGTTTTGATCGTACGCAGAGCGCCGCTCAGGGTCCGAGAGGACCTACAGGGAAATTCAACATGACCAACTCGGTCCTCCAGTTGAGAGGTCAGAATAAGGTACCCTTTTTCCTGTAGTCTATTGTAGTAGGGGAATCCTCACAAAAGGGTGAAAGGGCACTACTGGGGGGCCTAGCCAACTGTTGGAATCTCACGTTATGGGAAGCACCTGATTAATCTATTGGGGGGAGGGGGGGTTACGCGCGGAGGACTAACAATAGCCCAGACCAGGCCAAATGGAAACATGCCCCCCAAAGCGCAGATTCCTCTTGGAGGTATGCCGATCTGTTCCCAAAAGGGGTTTGCTGTCTGTAAGTTGTCGAAGCTAGCTACATCACAAAGGGATGGCATGGATGCTTAAAACCGCATGGGAAGTTTGGGCAAGTCTTAAGGTTGGCGCATGCGCATGGATTCAAAGATGTTTTTCGGCACAATGAAAACACGAGGCTACTTGTCTGACTCATCTGTGTATTGCGACCGAGCAAAACCGCTTGATTTGAGCAACGACCTGTATTGTTGCCCGCCTTTTTTCTCTCCCAAATAAATCAGCAGTATTTGTTTGCAAACTGCCCACAGCGGTGTTTGCAAACCTGGCGGGGAAAGGCGCGCGATCGGAACTTTTACTGAGGGCATTGCGCAAAACAAGGCCAATTTCTGTTGACACTGACCACCTTTCTCACAAGCACTGATGTTGGCACCAGCTGCCACCGAGCTCCTTCCTCGCCCACCCTCCTGTTGAAGTTCAACGGACTGGTCATCAACCAACAGATTCATTTTTCCAGGGTTCCAGTGATAGGTTAGGAAGGCACACGACCGATTGTGGCGGGAGCAAAATGGCATCTCAGCCAGTCATGAACTCCCCAAAGCCCGTACAGGCACGCAAGGTGCACGGGACGGGCGGAGGTACTCTCAACAAAAGACACACACACACAAACCAGCAAGCAAGCAAGCAAGCAAGCAAACAAACGAACAAACAAACAAACAAACAACAAACAAACGAACAAAACAAACAAACAAACAAACAAACAAACAAACAGACAGAAAGACAAACAAACAAACAAACAAACAAACAAACAAACAAACAAACAAACAAACAAACAACACACAAACGAACGAAACAAACAAACAAACAAACAAACAGACAGACAGACAAACAAACAAACAAACAAACAAGTGAACACACAAACAAACACACAAACAAACAAGCAAACAAACAAACACGCAAACAAACCAACAAACCAACAAGGAAAGCAACAGAACAACCAAACAAATGGACAATTCCAGCACGATTGTCCATTGCTCAGTTCTCCCGCTTAGGTAGGACCCCAGAACTAGACATGCTCCCGTTCTCTGGTTCGCATCTGGGAAGGATGAGGGGCGTGCTTGAAGCCAATGGGGGTTGTCCGGACATGTTTCAACCACTATTCAAACCTTCCAGCTTCCCCTTCAAGGCGACCAGGCTAGGGCCTGGTTGCTGAACCAAAAAAATCCCCGGCAGGTTCGCAACAGCAAAATAATTTCACACATGCTTTTGCCGATCATGGCTTTATTTGGCTATAAACCCCCCACCACCCCGTTCAAAGTGTCCGTCCCATTGGCCCTAGCTCCAGAAACAAGCGCTCCAGACACAAGCTCCTGCGCGAACCATGCTGCGCCTCGTAGGCTTCCTGCAGCTGCTGGAACTTCTCGGTGGCATTGGGGTCCTGCGGGTTCTTGTCCTCGGCTTCGGAAACCGCAGCCTGCCAAGCCGAGATTTTGGGGACTCCGGTGGAGGGGTGGCGAAATCCTCTGCACCTAAGAAACCCCGGAACGATGAGCCCCTTGGCGTACAGTTGGCTTCCCCAAACCGGAAACCCGCAGATAGGTAAAACCAATGGTGCAAGAGTTCGCCCATCAGTTGCTCTGAAAACGACTCGTTCAAATCCAAGGCAACTTGAACACAAACGACCAACTCGCCTGAATTTGGCAGAGGTCCATTGACGCAACCCCTCACCCCAGATGCTTCAAGCCACCACAAGGGGACCTAAAGGACCTACAAATTCCGCAAAGGACCAAACAAGTTAAAGGTAAACGTTTTGGGACCTTTACTCAAAGTGGACCACCAAGGAAAAACCAAAACGTCAAAAAGCCGGCTTTAAAACAAGCTAAGGTGAGACCCTCTAGTTGCAGGGCATCAGTGCTTTCCCATTAGAAGCAACGAATACTTGACAGTGCTGGCTGGCTGCAAAGGATCCCGCAACAAGTTGTAGACAAGAGCTGGACGCAAAAGGTGCAACTGAAGAAATCAAGCTTTCAGCTTGAATGCCTTCGATGAGCTGGTCGACTGGCTAGAAAAAAAAAACAGTGTGAACGTTCGGCCCGTGATGAACACTGGCAAGTTTCAGGCTACGCCGAACAGGCAAGTTCTTGCGTTGCGATGATGAATCCGCAACATACCTCCATGTGCTTGCGGCCCCTGAAAAAACAATTTAAACCAACAAGCCAGTAGTCAAACCGATCCCCTTTAAAACCCACAGGGAATATGTTACAAACAAATCGTCTTAGGCAAATGGAAGCATAAGAAGCTGCCAAACCCGTTGCCGGGCGGCCGGGTGTAGCTTCAACGCCTCGGCGAACATTTATTCGGTTTCTTGCGATTTTGGGGAGCCATTGTAACGCCATGGAGCCTGAGCAAGCGGAACTGTCCCACCTCAAATCTCCATGGGATAAATGGAAAACCACTTCCTTTGGTACATGTTGTTAAACGAAAACCCTTTGGTAAATGAAGGAAAGCCGCTGGCGGACCGTGTTGTGGCTTTCAGGAGGAAATGCAGATTGTGAGCGAAGGCCATCTAACTCAAAGGGCCATGCCAAGTGGTCAAAGCAAACAACCGGCCGGCAGTATACCCAGCCAGGAATTGCGACCCAGGGTTGCCCTGCAGTGGGCATAGCAGCTAGCCTAATGTTAAACTGTGTCATGAGTAACTAAACACGCACACTTGCGCAACAAAATTGGCCAGCTCATGCTCATTTCCTTGATGGTTTTGGCGCTGGGAAACTTGTTGCCTTGTAAAAGGACCTGCTTCTTAAGTTTTATACAAGTAGGACTTGCCATGAGAAATCTATTATTGACCTGTGTTCCGTTTGCCGTCAGTAGACATGTCAACTGTCAAATCACCTTTGCCCGGCCCCAGGTTGGATTTTAGAAGTGTCGTCCTCCGAGGTGACAACCGCAACGATGTTTAGATGCACATTCTGACTTACCCTTGGCCCCAGGCAACTGCAATACAGCATATCAGCACGTAGTCTCCTGAAATGGGGGTGGTGGAAAAAACGTTGGATGATTGGGAAAGGAAGGCCAATGGACATGGCTCCAGACAGGGCCCTTTTGGCACTGACGCGTGGGCCATCCTTCAAACATCCGACTGGGAGCGGCGCCAGCTTCCGATACCTGAGCTAAAAGCGCCAGACTCAGCACTGATTTGTTTGCACTTCACGCTTGATCCAGCTTCAAACGGAACCAGCATGAAGTAGCCAATTTGATTTGATATGAGCGGGACAATTGCTAGCAATAATGTGGAAGCTAGGCAGTTGCCCGAAAAACTTCCCAAAGATCCTCCAGCTACCTGGCCCTTTGAATCTGCTTTTTTGGGCGACGCATGAAACCCCCGTTACGCAGTGGAGAATGTGTCCACTTCCAGCTCTTTGCTCCTCACAGATTCGCCTCGGCCCCAAAGGGGCCAAGGGCGCTCAGATCTCTTCTCCAAAGAGAATCTTCGCTTTTCCCCTCCCCCAACCCCCCCCAACCAAAACTGAAAAGCATGACCTTCTGCTGGCCAGGCCTGTCTGACGTGTCTGAGACTAGGCTCAGGCCCAGCCCAACCAGCAACCCGTCTGCTGGCCAGGCCTAGCCTCAGGCCCAAGCTTGTCTGAAACAGGCCTAGCCCAACCAGCAACTGCCCAAGCACGGCCCCAAGTCATCCAGCAAGCCCAGCCCAGCCCAGGCCCACTAGGCCGGCCCCCAGCTCAGCGTTTCAAGGTTGGTTTGTCTAACGTGTCTGAGACTGGCCTCAGGCCAACGACCAGTCTCACGTGTCCCTGTCTGACGTGCCCCAGCCCCAGTCCGGCTAAGCAGCTCAGCCCAGCCGACCTCCTGCTCGCGTCTGGCCCCAAGTCATAGCAGGCCCAGCCCCTTCGGCGCAGTCTGACACTGGTCTCAAAGTATGCCAGTCTGAGACTAGCCTCAGGCCCAGTCCCTCAGCCCACCTGCTGGCGTGTCTTACGTGTCTGCGACTGGCCTCAGGCCCAGCCCAGCCAGCAACTCGCCACCCAGCATCAGGCCCAAGTGTGTATGAAACAGGCCTTGCCCATCCAGCAACCGTAGTCCGGCTGCCCGGCAGCCAGCAACCCCCCCTGCCCAGCCCAGGCCCCGGCGCATCTCAGGCATGCCCAGCCACTAGGCCGGGCCCCCAGCTCCCAGCCCACCAGCAGGCTCAGCCCAGCGTGCTAATGTGTCTGAGACTTGTCTCAAGCTATGTCATGCGCCTGTCTGACGTGCCCCAGCCCCTCAGTCCGGCTGCCCAAGCAGCTCAGCCCAGGCTGGCCAGGCCTTGACCGCTTGCGTCTGGCCCCCTTCTCAAAGTATGCCAGCCTGAGACTAGCCTCAGGCCCAGTCCCTCAGCCCGCCTGCTGGCGTGTCTTACGTGTCTGCGACTGGCCTCAGGCCCAGCCCAGCCAGCAACTCGCCACTCAGACCCAAGTGTGTATGAAACAGGCCTTGCCCATCCAGCAACCCGCCCAAGCACAGCTCAGCCCAGCCCGCCCAGCCCAAGTTCCAGGCGCAACCAGCAGCGTAGTCCGGCTGCCCGGCAGCCAGCAACCCACCCATGGCTTCGCAGCCTCGTGGCTGAGACTAGCTTCAGGCTCAGCCTGCCCAGCCGAGGCCCCGGCGCATCTGCGGGCATGCCAGCCACTAGGCCGGCCCCCAGCTCCCAGCCCAGCCAGCGTGCCAAGGTCAGGTTTGTCTAACGTGCCTCAGGCAACGTGTCTGAGACTGGTCTCAAGCTACGCCAGCTACCAAGCCTGTCTGACGTGCCCCAGCCCCCCAGTCCGGCTGCCCAAGCAGCTCAGCCCAGGCTGACCCTCCTGCTCGTGTCTGGCCCCAAGTCATCCAGCAGGCCCAGCCCCTTCGGCGTCTCAAGGTATGCCAGCCTGAGACTAGCCTCAGGCCCAGTCCCTCAGCGCGCCTGCTGGCGTGTGTATTGGGGATGTTTTTCCGCGTACTTAAGCAAATGGAGGTTTGTATTCCCACCATGTACCTGTCTTGGGCTGAGCAACCGAGCAAGAAATGTATGTCATGGCAAGCCGCCAGCCACGTGAAATGGAGGTGCCCAAACACCCACAGTTGGTCTTGGTTGTTCAGTGACACCAATTATTGTTCCCCTTTTTATGGAGGCCAAGCCCCACTAAAAATGCTCATCCCCAGAAAGAGGTCCTTTTTTTTCCAAGGGCACTGAGCAGCTGAGATAGTCTTGGTTTTGGATTTCAAACCTTCCGAGCAGGACGGCTTCCGAACATCGAACTAGCACGGGCGAACTGGTGCGGTCACAAGCTTTCAGTAGGATTCGGACCTTCCCAACACTGGATTTCGGTGTTCCTGACCCTTCCCTCAAACTAGGCTGGGCCGAGGCGGGCAACGCGAAGCGTTTACAATTAGCATGGATCCCAAAGGCCACCACAAAGGAAACTCCTTTTTGGCGAACCCCCCCCCCTTTTGGCCCTTTTGGATGCAGGTAGGGGGCTAGCGCATTGGACAGAGATTTGACAAAGTCCGCGAATGCTTCGGGAACAATCCATGGGGAGGGATGTGTTTTAAGCGGGCGGTCTGGCGCGGACAACCTCGCACCAGTTCAGTTTTGTGGCCAACACGTTGGCTAGCAGTCGGCCTGGAAGAATGCATGCCGCAGGGCTGAGGGGGTCAAAAGGGAAAATGACCTCTGACTATTCGACTATTCACCCACCAGTTGCTATGTGGGCCTGTCCTTCTTCAGCTTTTCAATGGGATCTTCTGCGCCAAAAGCATGATGCATCGCCGGCTTTGGTGTTCTGCTTCTGCGGATGTCTTGTTATTTCAGCGCCTTGCTGTTGCTTGCTTCATTGATCATTGCTTCGGCTTCGGGCGTTCGGGTGTTCGGGCGGGCTTGCTGTTAGATCGGAACACGCGGTTTATGCGGTTTCTATGATTTCACGGATGTCAATCGATTTGCTCGAAACGATCCCCACCCTGAAGCTAAGCTGCAAGGTGCCGGCGCTGAAATTTCAGACAAACATCTCGGTTGCAACTTTGGGACCCAATGCCAAGATGTCTGTGGCTTTGTTTTGCCTACCACATCACGCTCTTGTCCTCATCATCTTGGGGTGCACAACCCTACGCATCAAGACTCTTCGTTTTGGTCAACAAACGGTTCCTCGGTTGCTTTCTGCTCCTCTGCCAAAAGCTTAACTTTTAGTGGTTTAATGGAAAACCCAGTGGTTGGCAAAAAGTTGAAGTCCGAACATCCAAGCAAAATGCACCAAAGATTCCCGGGACTCGCAGGGGCGCTCGGCTCGTGCCCCAAATCGAGCTCGTCACTAATCAGGCAGCTAAACAGAGGCCGGGGCTCCTCCATTGGGTTTGTTACCATGAGAATTATGTTGATCCCCAATTTGCTTGAATCAACCCAGCACGGGTAGAACTGCTCATCAATAACATCCATTTGCGGATACGTGATACGTCCTCTGGAAATAACACACATATTTCCAGTAGTGACAAATCCCTGCTTAAAACCAACCAGCGGGGGAAAAACAAACTCAAGCAAATGGAACTTAAGCAAGCCCCATGATCAACCATGCATTGCTTTGACAGGTGATGTATCGGCATAAGGGGGCCTGAACGCCCAGCTGAATGCCCGCTTGAGACACATCCGCTTGGGGTTGCCGCCATGCGGAGATCCTTCGAACACCGAATAACTCCAAGGTCCAACAACACATCACGTCTGATTTTTCCCCAGAAAGGTGTAATCCTAACTCGGTTGCTTTCTGCTCCCCTGCTAAGAGTGAATAACTTTTGGTGGTTTAATGGAAAGCCCATTAGTTGGCAAAAGTCAAAGTCCGGACATCCAAGCAACATGCGCCAAAGCTAAAGTGGTTCGTGTTGGCCTCCAGACTCCGGCTCCCTAAGCGATGCTTTGGCAACTTGCCCGACCCCCTTCAGCTTCTCCACGGCTTACACAACAAGTTAAGCAGGCATCGCAGTGAAGGCGTACTGTTGGCTTTCCCAAACGGGAAACCCGCAGATAGGTAAAATAAATGAGTCACAATCAAAACCCGGTATTAAAACGGTCTACCCAGAACCATGTAAGGAATTAAGAAGGCGGATATCCGCAACTATTTCTGGCTGGGACTGCCCCTTTCTAACCTTCATGTACCCGGGTTTTGATTGTGGCTCAAACGGAAGCACATTCTACGTTTCGTTCATCGCCTTCACTTCCTGAGATGAGGTGCTAGGTCTATACACATCAGGGTGTCTCGTTTTTGTTGGTTTTTCTCCTTTTTTTTTTATTTTCGGGGACATGTTTGTTGGTGATTTTGAAGGGATGCCAAAAAGAAAACTGGCCATTTTGGAGGTCCCTTAAAAAAACCAGACACCTTGCATGTGCTTCAGCCCCCTTGGGAAAAAATGAGGAATACGTCCAGTCGTGATAGGTTCCCTTTAAAGCCAAAAAGCAAACCTTTAAAATCACCTTCACTTCAGCAAATGGAAGGCACCCATCGATTTCACTTTCACCCGATGCAGCCCAGGTCACTGCACCTTGATCTCATCCGCGCCGGCATCTGGGGCTACACCCAAGATCCTCGCAGCTCCCCTCTGCCACCCGGCCACCTCTGAAGATCATCTAGCATGTTAGCTTCAATGGGCCCAGTCGCCAAAGAACCTGCGACTGTTGAGCAAGGCGGTACCTCGATGAATGTAGGCAAGAAGGATGTACCTCCTCGACAAATGCTTGCAACTAAACATGGACCCCCCATTTCATGGAAAGGTCCCCCCCAAAAAAAACACGTCTCCCCCAAAATGACGGGCGGCGTCGGGTGTTGCATGCTCATTTGCAGGAGGGAGCCTCTTGCGACGTTTTTCTAAATTTCAGCTCAGGCGCTGGTAGTAGGTGCCGCCGCCTGCTTCCAAGGCTGGGGCATCCTCCATGGCAAAAAAGCCGCGAGCCGCGAGCAGTTTCTATCTGGGTGTCCATGCCAAGTGCACTGCTCAGGCGGGGAAAAAAACCGGGGAAGGACTGGGCTGAACTCTTCGAGTTAGGCAACCTCTGCGTCACAGCAGCTTCCACTTGCAGCGCCTTGAAAGCGCACTTGGTAGATCTAGGCTGGCAAGTTGGCAAGGCACAGCGCCTGGCTTGCAACTAGCAACCAACATAGGCCTAGGTCTGAAGCCATAATAAAAGGTCCTGCAGCAAGCGGGAACATGTGGCTGTGGGTCAAGAATCGGTACCCAACCTGGAACCCTTGTAAGAGGAAACATAGACAAAAAGCTGCGGTCGGTGGTTTCATTTTGACCCACAGCCATGTCATGGTTTGCCTTTCCAACGGCTAAGACACGTCTGCATGACTGCCAGGAAGATTTCCACAGAATTCACCGGAATTGTTGACTCACTTGTCCCACCCACCGGGAGATCCAGGATTAACCTTACCTTGCTGGTTGCCAAGATGGGAGGCTGAATAAACACCGTCACAACTTGGTATGTAAAAAAAACATGTAGAGACAACACTTCGGCAAGCTAGCTCACACGGTCATGTCCCGTCAATGGTCAAGTCGCTTCGGTTCTGCACAAGCGAGCCCTCCCCTCCAAATGAATCTGGCGGGGTTCCCCTATTCGAAGACACACCGATATGAATTTGCTGAACAACGTCGCAAGGGATTCCGGCTTTGTGCAGGCGTTCACCCAAGGTCATGCCACGAAACTTGATGTCCAAGTTCACAAGTTCAGAAACTCCTACTGTGCAAGGATACTTTCCCCCGCCCATTTCGGTGGACTGTCTTCCATTTGCTTAAGTTCCCTGGCAAAAGATGCAATACTTCCAGTAGTGATAGGTTCCCTTAGAAACCGGACAGGGGAAAATAGCAACACATCCACTTCAGCAAGTGGAAGGCTGTCATGGCTGCCTAAGGCAACCGCAGTTCTCGCCTTGGCAAGTGCCTGTTGGCCCATGGTGTTTTTGGAGCCGCCTCAAGGATTCATTGGTGACTCAACCTGTTGACCCACGGGTTTTTGGAGCCGCCCCAACAATTCACTGCACAGCCATTCTTTTGGAGCCGCCCGGAGGATTCATTCAAAGCGCCAAGCCAATCCAAAGCACAAAGGATTGACGTAAAACTTCCATTTGGTTAAGAGCCCTGGAAAAATATGTCCAGTAGTGATAATTCCTTTTAAAACCGACAAGGGAAACTAAACATATATATGCATAAGCAAATGGAAGAAAACAGAATCAAGCTCGACCGCTTGAAACTCCCAGATCTGTGGGCGCTGCTTCTTGCGAGGCCAGCTTCTCGGCAGCCTGAGGAAGCAAGCCAAATCGCCTCCAGTTGCGTTTTCGTCCCCTGGAAAAAATCTGACAACCACCACCCATGTTGGGCTTCCCTTGGGCAAAAACAAAAAAAGCAACCATAGCTTCCATTTGGCTAAGACCCCTGCAAAAAAACAACATGTGATAGATTCCCCTTTTAAACAAACAATGGAAATTATGTTGTATTATTAAGCAAATGGAAGCATAACATATATATATATATATGTACATGTAGGTGTATATATATATAAACACATGATTTGGCTGTGGCTAAAAAAAACACGGAATTCCAGAATGGCTTGCCATGGTAAGTAGGAACATGGACCAAAACCTGCGGTTTGCCCCTCCTGTTTAATTTTGAGCTACACCCATTTCCAGTAGTGATAGCGTCCCCTTAAAAACCAACAAGGGGAAAACAACTAAATATTCTTAAGCAAACGGAAGTTTTGGATGCAGGTAGGGGGCGAGCGCATTGGACAGAGATTCTTAAGGAATTGCGCAAGGAAAAATATAACGTATTCTTCAGCAAATGGAAGAATTGCTCCCGGAGACAGATTCCCCTTTAAAAAAGCCAAAAGGAAGATCGATACACCATATTCTTAAGCAAATGGAAGTAAAAACACAACGTGGTCCTTTTCTGGTCTATGTGTTCTTTGAGGGTTCCGCTACAACTGACCCTTGCATGGTTTAACCTTGCTCACTTCCTGAATCTATTGGCTCTTCTTCACCAAAGCGGGCTTCCCAAACATGTATAAGCCAGGAACTCACGAAGTGAGTATGGGAAAGGGGGCCGTGCTGACACATGTTCGCTCTTCAACGCTCCTTGTTGAGCTTCACAGCAGGCAAACATGGGGCCATGTAGACGTTGTCAGCAGCCACAAAATCGCGCAGGTGTCCGCATGCACATTATTCCCCCCAACCCCCCCAAGTTTTTCTGAACTAAGACCCTAGCTAGGTCCTCCAGTAGAGAGGTTAGAACAAGGGTACCCTTTTTTCTGTAGTCTATTTTAGTATTTTAGGGGGGGGTTCCTCCCAACCGAAAACGGGGTGAGAAAGGGCACTACTGGAGGATCTAGCTAGCAAGTAAGGCCTTGTTTGAGGCACTGGCCCCCCCCTACCCCCCAAGTTTTCCTCAACTAAGACCCTGGCAAGTAAGGCCTTGTTTGAGAAACCTGGGGATTGAGGCCTGATTTGAGGAACCTGGATAGAGGATGCGGATCTTGTGGACTGGGGTCGCTGAATCCTCTCCCCGCCTGGAAGTCCGCCTCCACGGTGCGCTCCACTCCCTGCACGGCCTTTTCCAGCAGCTGCCAGTCCTCCCGTCGTGGCGCCAGCCACCTAAAGCTTTCAGCTTTAGGTCCCGGGAAGAAATCGACATGCGGATGGACGACATCCACTTCGCAACTTGAAACCATGGGATTTCTTGTATTTGTCGGTATTTGCAGGGGAGTCATCATTCCAGGGTTGCCTGTGTGGTGCAGGATTGCGTCCACAGTACGTCCGGTGGTGATAGAATTTCTTGAAACCCCAGGGGAATATTGAAAAGCAGACTTAGGCAAATGGAAGGCCGCTGTAGGAAGCGGAAGGACTATCATGGAAAGCCAAATTTGCGCCTTTGCCCAGAGTTCGGATGAGCACCCGACAGGGGAGGAGTAATCATATTTTTCCATGGGTGAAACGTGTAGGCGGTTGCAATAAAGGGAAACCATCATGAAAACGCAGACTAGTGTGTTTCTTTCTGGGGCCTAGATGGTTGTCCCAGGTTTGCCCAGTGTCGGTAAACAGGGAAAACCATGGACCTAGTGGTCCTCATCCCTGGGCGGGAAGACAAAACACAATTGAACGATGGCACATGATTGAAACCCAACTGAAACCAGCTGAACCCATAGATGTTCATACAAAGCTCTGCTTTTTCTCCGTCGGCTCCGGACAAGAAACCTGAGCCCCCGCCACCGCTTTTTGGATTTGGGACAGGAACAAGCAGTCGTCGGGGTTATTGGCATGCACCACGGAAACTACCTGCTTTAAATCAATTCAAGCGTCCCCCAACCCCCCCCCCCCCAAACAAAAAAAAACAACCACCCCACCCCCCCACCCCACCCCCCTCCCCACAACCTCTTTTTGGATCTGCCAGTTTTGCTCGTCGTCTTTCAGCGCCCCAAGCTGTGGCCTTAGGGGGACCCCGGCCACGGACAATGGGTTCTTGGCGCGTCTCCTCCTCTGCCACGGCACCCACGGGCTTCTTCTCGAAGAAGGACTGGCCTGACCGAAGCGCAGATCCCTGTGTCCAGGTTTGATGTCAGGCGGTGGCTCAGAAATTGGTGCCCAAAATGGCGTGCTTGCCCTGGGAAATGGAAACATGGACCAAACCCTGCGCTTCCCTGATCTTCCCTGATGGCTGAATTTTGACTGGGAGAGACGACTGAAGCCTGGCACGTGACAGTTGACCCGCCTGCAAAAAGTGTTTAACTTGTTGGGAATTTAGTCGTACAAGCAGCTCAAGCGTGCAAAGGGATAGATTGCCCCCTCAAGAACAGCCAGCCCATGGGCAACACTCCTGTGGGTGTGTCCAACCCAGTCCTTCCCTTCACCAGCCAGGGGAAGCCATCCTGTATGCAAGCAACCCGACCACCTATCGAAGGAAGCACCATGACTGGTGGAGCAAACCGCCTAGCAACATAATGTTGACCCCATCTGACAACTGGCCCCAGCGTCTTCCAATTCCCAAAGTCAGCCAAGGACCCAGCACCCGAAATAAGCTTCACAATCAAGCACCAACAGGTTATCTTAATTTGGGATGCCAAAGAGGTGCCGAGTTCCCGCGTTGCCTGGAGATCCTGGCCTCTCGACTTCCACTATTTTACATCCCGTTCTGCCCATGTCTAGCTGAAATACCCCAACCGCGCGCCGAATACCATGGGATTTGTGCATGGACGCGAACAAACAAAAACCAGCACAAGACCTGTATAGCCTGTGTGTGACTGCACTTTTTGGGAGGGATGTCCATTTGAGAGGAACGCGAGTACTTCAGATTGAGGAAGCCGTCCTGTTCTTGAGGCCCAGTGAGCCAAACCCCCGTTCCCATATATCGCCTCTTGCGAGTGGGGATTGTCATGAGTCATGAGTCACAACCAAAAATATGTTCTCGAAGAACTCGGCCCAAAACCGGTGGCAAAGAAGCAATTGGGCTTCTCGACATCTGTCCATGGAACCGTCCTCCCACTCAAGCCGCAAACACTGTTTGGCGCGGCGACCTACCCGAAACCCATGAAGAATCAAATGGCTTCTTGCTGCACCTGTTCATGGTCGGCACTGCTCCCTAATCTTCGCTTCGGTGTGCACGCATGCGACCCTGCCAGCCTTCCACTTCCAGCGCGGGCACTGCCACAGCCCCCCCGAGCCTCGGCTCAGGAAAATCATCCTCTCTTGGATTGCCTTAAGGCTCACCTGCCCAGAGGGCCTGCAAACAAAAGGTCACCTTTTGGACACCTAGACCAGACAATCAAACAGTGAAGAACCACGAGGGCAACAAGGTTGGTCTTGGGCAAGTGGAAGCTGGCGGCCGAAACAAGGACCAACAAAGTCAAAGGCTTAATAAGTTGCAAGACCGTTTCTAGGGGTTACCAAAGTCAGAAATGGAGCTTGTTTCCTGTACCCTACCACTTA